CAGAAATCATTCAACTCAGTTACTGTACATTTAACTGTGAAAATCAATGTCATGGGTCAGGTGAATTTCTTACGTCTATTCATATAATATAATCAGAGATTGAGCTTGCCAGGAAAAAGTGGAATTACACACGCTGTTAACACTAGTTTTACAAACTCAGCGCGGCTGCGAACAAGGAACTATTCACAGGGATACGTTAGATTTTGGAGATTATACAGGTTGACAGATTAGTGCGGGAGATTAATGACTTTCTTAAGTAGACAACTGACACTAACTAAACTACAAACATCAGATTCTCTGATGTTTGGTCATCAAAATAATCTATTTTTCAGTAGCAATTGGAAATTCATGGCTATACCCAGGGACAATATCATGGGATGCCATTCATACTGGCAGACTCGACACTTACTTACTTAACCAGTGTTTCTAACACTAAAGACAGTTAAAGCTTTCAACATCACTCACAAAGGATCTTGTATGCTTTAACTGTAATCAAACATACTCTAAGTTGACTCAAAACAATGTTGTTCTCTCTCACATCCAGATTTACTTTATAGAGAGGTTGGTTTCAGGAAGTCAGAGAAAATGGACGGCACCTAAGGTAGGGAGCGATGAGAAAACGGACGCCTCAGATGGGAGACTCAATAAAGAAGGTATAGCTACATGTTTTGTGGGCTATTGAGCGTAATATGAATCATCTGATGTTACGTTAACTGACGTGTACGACCATGGTCATTACAGTATAAGGTGCACTCAGAAACATTATTTGAAGAATATAGTTTGCGATTTTCATTAATTGTATTGTTTTGGGGGAAAAGAGGGTAAAAAGCCACACAAAAGATATGAAAAGGTCACACTTGGGAACGCATCTCATTATTATTGCTTTATTTTAATGGTAATTAATGATTCACTATACGATGATTCACCTTACACTGCAAGATTGGAGGATACATTACCGTTGTTCTTCGAGGCTTTACTGTATGGGAATTCGCGTATATGTACAGAACTGAACAAAGAATTTAGTTGAAATACTCTGTAACATTTGATACCATAATATCCTGACTACTGGGGTTAGTTATACAGACTTTTCCTTGTGAAAAAAGCTATAATTTTGAGCACCATATTACTGTACTGTACTCACTTTGTACTCAAATGTACTAAACTGTAGGACTAAAATTTTTATCTCTTGTGCAAACTATGAGATGTTTCTATTCAATTTAATTGCTATCTTGCAAGGATTCTAGTAATGCAAGTTATATTCTGCTAAGTTTAGTCTGTGACATTTTATAAGAGAAAAACTTAAGCCTAAAACTACCTTCACCCTGGTTGGGAGGAAGGGGGGGGGGGTAAGGTGTTGACAGCCAGGCAGGGAGATGATTGCCGGGTGCTAGTTATCAGGGACTCAGGATTATACAATAGAGGGAGTTTAAGTTTTTCACTTATAAAATGTCAGAGACTAAACTTAGCAGAATATAACTTAAATTGCTGGAATTCTTGCAAGATAGTGATTAATTTGAGTATAAACATCCCATAGTTTGTTCTACACATAAACATTTTAGTAATTAACTTAGTATTGTACATTTGAGTACAAGTTGTGATAAATGTAATGATTTTACCATAACTTTTATAGCATTACTGTTGGCTTTTAGGAATTGTGGAACATAACCTATTTCCCCCATAAGATTAAACATTCACGATATGCGTCCCGAACCATTGAAGCTGCCGGACTATTGGGCCCCGGATTACTGGGGTCCAACCTGTACCAGTAGTTCAAATAATTGTGCTGTGTATAATTGTGTCATTTAAATTTTTGTCCAACAGAAGTACCAGGCAATAATGTATTGATATTTTGTGAGCCAAGTGTTGGCAACCAGTACTGTATGTGGTTTATTCACCCCTGGAAATCTAATACAGTACAAGGAAAATGTCTTATTTTCTTATTGCAGGCATCTATTGGGTGTTTTACCACACACATTAAACATTTACAATGATGATACTTTCCCATCTGTTTGTTGTGTCTGGTATAAATTTATTCCTCTCCATCTACCACCCTCATATGTACCATTACTGAAGAAACTTGTTTCTACTGTGGGGGTATGAGATATTGGTTCACACTCAGGATGGGATGGAGAAAGGAAACTCACAATGTGCTCACTGTATACATATTGTATTGGATGTACAATGCAGCTTGTTGCTGGGTAGGTAGCATGGTAATAAGCATTGAGTAGAGAGAGCTGGGTGGTGAGGGTGCCCAGAGGAGGGACACGCGGCTTGAGGGACGCCAAGGTCGCTGGCGGGAGTGGCAGCCGCCAGGCTGGCGCGGAGGAGGAGGAGGTGTTGCTTGCTGGCGGCACTGGGTAGAAAAGAGGGTGATCACAGCGGTGTCAGGCCTTATAAGGCGGGGGTAGGTGTGGGTAGATAGTTGACCCCCGCTCCGTGGGCAGCACTGGAGGCGTAGACTGGGGAATTCGAGAAGGTTCGGTGTTTGTAGGGGAGGAATCCACTACACTACTACACACTTTACACTTCATCACTTCTAGTATAGTGTATACAGTTGTGAGTGATTAAATTTTATTGCAAGAGCAAATTTTTACACATACCTGTACAGTAAACCCTCAGTAGGAATCAATGTTTGATTCCATAGGTCTTGTTATGGAGCAAATTGTTCTCTATCCAACTTATCTGCTAATGTGAAAAACAGGGATATGTTCCTGACTTAAGGCTGTTGTAACACTTCATGAGAACTCTTCCTCCAGTATATCTAGTTTTTGTGTCACTTTCTTGCCTCCACCATCTCTGCCCTCCCCCGCACCCCCTTGCCACAATTACCTCCTTCTTCAGGGATGTAAATTCACATAAATCCAGTCACCTAAGGTGACCAATATAATGTAAGGTCAACAAGATCCCACTACAGGCGTCCCCCAGGTTACAGAAGGGTTCCTTTCCTGAAAGTTTTTCCGTAACATGGGACCAATTTTCCCATTGACTCCCATCATATAAGTTGAGATGTTTCCTACGGAAAATTTTTCGTCCAAAAAAGGTAATACAAGTACAGTACATATATGAATGAAAATTGGCAGTTACATAAAAGATGTAACAATAATAAATGCACAAATTTCTCAAATTTAACTTACCAGAAACAATGAGCTGAGTGAGGTGAGGTGGTGCAATTGGAGTTACTGGGAGGAAGACAAGGGGACACTGCTGACTCCTGCCCTTATGACAATTATTTCTTTTGAGTTTTTTTTTGCACAATATGTATGTAGGATGGTGTGTGCATGTAATTGAGTAAAAATAACTGAAGAAAGTTATGAGTATCTACCAAAAAATACGAGTTAAGAAACAACCATAACACCTCACAGCTTGGCCCAGTAGCCTGGTGGTTACAGTCTAACTTGGTTACAATGCTGCCAGTGATGTTCGCAGATGCAAATGGGAAAAGAAAGTTGCAGGGTGCTGGAGGGGGTTTTGAGAATAGCAATTAAATGCCAGGTAGCGATGTGTCCTCCTAATATTATGTATTTAATAATTATTAGATGTTTTAATTTCCTGTATGTTGGCCTGGCGAGTTAATGCTAGGCATTTACATACCTAGGTATAAGCTAGGTGTCGCATTCTGGACTATATATCACAAAAACTGTTTTTTTTTAGAAAAAATGGCTTTTATTGAAACAGCCTTTTAGAAAATTTATTGGGGATCATTATGGTACCAAATTCATCTCTAACACAATTAAAACAGATGCTGTGAATAGAAGTTTATTTTTTTTTGCTAGCCATAAATAGTTTTGCTTACTGTATATCCATGATCTAAATGTAATGGGAGAGCGTTTGTTTGTGCGAGATGAGATGTGCACTAGTTTAGACTCTCGGAAAACTTTCATCAGCACCCAGAAACATTCCAGGAATGTGCGATAGTGTCAGTCCTTGCGAGATGCATTAGTTTAGAATCAGAAATTTTTCTCCAGTACCCAGAAAAATTCCGGGAAGGTATGATTTTGCCTGGGTAGGAGAAATTCGTCTCAATACCCGGAAATCTGTTTGTAGCTACAGGTACTCCTCGACTTACGACCACCTGGACATACGACCGCTGCAGTCGTAATTTTTTTTTTAATTACGTATTTTCGAGTCCCGACGTTAGTGATCGCACTGTGTACTGACAAAATTTTTGTTTGTAATTCCCTTTAAAATGGCTGGCAAGCTTAAAAGTGAGAGTTTTGTGGTGCTGAGAAGAAAAAGAGACACCCATTTTAGATTTTCTATGTATTTTTTAAGCATTTTTGACTTACAACCATTTCGACTTACGACCTTGATTTGGGTCCCTAACCCCGCCGTAAGTTGGGGAGGAGCTGTATTAACTATATGTGATATAAAAAATACATTATACTGGTTATACAATGCATCACTCAACCAGAAATACCAACCTTACCAAATTAACATGGCCTCAAACCAAGGGGTGCAGAACATTTTTTTCTGACTGTACATTAAATAATATATACAGTACTGTTCCACTTAATATGAGGAATATATAAAAGTACTAATAATGAGTAAAAGAAAAAAATACTGCATTATTATTTGGCAATCTTGTCTCTGATAAATTCTGAGACCATATTTGTGCCGAATTATGAGAAATTCCGAGATATCAAATGCCAAGTTATCAAGGGTTTACTGTTTAATTTTACTCACACACACACACTTAGTGATTCTTTATTTTAAAGTTATATGAAGAATCCCATGAGAATACTTTACAACATTTGCCTTGCAACTACTGTATTCCTTGGCATATTTTATAGGCTGTGAAATTAAATTTCATACATAATTTTATAGACAGTACTTTACTGTATTAAGAAATAATACGATATATTGCCCGTTTTGTTTCTTTCTACCTGGAAATATTACTAGCTTCCTTGTTGATATGTTTTATTGTCGGGTAATTTTATAATGCGAAACTGTCTTGTATACTTATGTAAGTTTTTAAATAATCTAATTCTTAATTTGAGCAGCAGCCAAGTATTGCAGTGGTCGGAGTCGGTGGTCTCCCGAGCGTGGCCCACAGCGCCCCACCCGAGTGAACCATACCAGATATCTCAAGTACTAATCATTCTTTTATTTTAAAGGCTCATTCCTGCATGACATCTGCTGGCATTGCTACATATTTCTTTATGTCTGTTGTACTCCTTTTGATAAGAATGATAATGTATGTTGTTGCTCCACATTGCTTATAAACTTCTTTAATTCAAATATTTAAATTGGCATGGTTATGCTGTGCTTCTGTGCAGTGAATTAAAAAAAATTAGCAGTGTCACATTGTTGATTATTTAAATTAAACTACAATCCATTCATTTGAATCAAGACCTCGGAGTTGAGAATTATTTTCACTGACAAAAATATACACAGGGTCTCCAGAAAAGCAGGAAGGCTTACTTACATAGAACAATTTAATTATTTCTTTAACTGGAATGCCACCAGCCTTATATGTCCATCAGAACAGTGACACATTTCTTTGCTTAAGAATGAGTTCTCTTAATTATCAGAGACTCTATTAATGAATCTGCATATTGGTATACTCATGAGATAGGTAAAGAAATTCCCACTGAAACTATGCTTTTGAATTATGGATTCAATGCTTTCGCTTATTTTATCTGGGGTTGTGATTCGTAATTTGGTGACATTTCACTTTTCCAGGCGGGCAAATTTTCTCACAAATACATGTTTTTTGTTCGATCCAGAATGCAATTTCTTGCTTTATACCTAGGTATATTAATGCCTAGCATTAATTCACCAGGCCAACTTACAGACATTTAAACATCTAATAATTTCTTAAATACGTAATATTAGGAGGACACGTCGCAACCTGGCATTTAATTGCAATTCTCAAAACCCCCTCCCGCAGCCTCCATCACATGCATTGCTACCGTCATCTTCTTGCCTTGCGAATCGGCTGTAAACACACACAAAGAAGGCTCCTCTAATTTGTTTTGTAATAGCTGAAATATAAAGTGCCACGAGGATTTTATTTTTGGTATTTATACATCTTAGCACAGTGAGGAAATCGAGTGACTTTTATTTTGTTTAAGTCTCTCAGATATTGTGTTTGGGGCAATCTTTTACAAAGTATGGTCAAGCATGGTGACCGCGGCTCATCTTCTATATAGGAAGACAGTCGATCTTTAGTGACTAATATCCTCTGCTTTCAAGTCACTTATTCAATGAAATTGTTTTTTGCCCTTTCGGGCTCGTATTCACTGAAAGAATATATATATATATACACTGTATGTATGTACAGGATATATATATATATATATATATATATACACACATATATATACACACACACACACACACACACACATACATATACACACAAGTAAATCACTGTAGGTGCGCGTGATCCAGGTATATGCTGATAACCACAAGGAAAAAGAAAACACGAAGTTCCCAAGCGCTTTCGTGTAATTCACATGTGACAGATAGAATGACATGTACAGATAAGCAGTGTTGTGTGTTGTATACAGAGGCGAGACTGATCCCCCAAAAGAAATCCTGAATCTGGGCTTAGGGAGAGTGAAGACTGTGGGTTGACCCCTGCAGTCCTCCCTGAAGTTCGTGAATTTGGGGATTTCCTAAGTGTTTGAAATAAAAACAAAAATATAAATTTGGGATACCTGTACAGTACAGTACCTGTATTTCTCACCAATTTACAGAATGCTTACATGTTATGTTTTCAGATAGGTGAATGTGTTTTAGATACTCTTATCATAATTTTAACAAGAGATATTGTTCTAAATCCTGTTTATATACCATGTAGCAGCTTTATGCTAGTTTCCAATGACTCTGATAATGTTTTCTCATAAATTGTTGATGTGGTGTATGTCATTGGCTCATTATAATAAGATAGTGTGCATGACTTAAATGGGTTCACAGTCCCAGCAGCTAATGGGCCTAGAAGATCAAGGTCAAGGAAAGGTGTACCTGACTTTTCCCATCTAGAGGCGATGACTCTGCCGGAGTGAGGCACCACCACTCAACTACTACCTCGGATGCATCGCTGCTCAAAACCCCTGTAATTTTTTTTTCTCAGCTTGTGGCGATCTCTGGTGCATGGCGAACAGCTAGAGGCAGCTGCAAATGCTCTTTCAGTATTTTCCAGCATTGCACTTTCTAATTTTCTTTTACAATTTAATGAAAGGCTTATATAATATAGAACTGCATTTGTTTTTTCTGTAGTTAACTTAAATACTCATTATTGTTTAATGTCCAACATTGCTGAATAATGTTTTCAGCTCATGTGTTGTATAAAGAGGCTTGGCAATTTTTAATAATCTGCTTATTTGCTTTTATGTGAGTTTCTGATGTTTGATTTTAACAATTGCACGAGATGTTTGTTATCAGGAATAAGCCATGCAGATACCTGTAGTGGGTACAGTGTCAGTGGATAATTCCTGTTTGATTGTATATTGAACAATGGACTTCATTTGTGTGCTGCAATATTTACAGATATGTTAATGAAAACAAGATTCAGTTCATATTTGAGTTATGTTTAATTGTCAGCGTAAAATATTGGTAAAAGTGGAGTTTAAACCTAATAAAGTGAGGGGCAGCAAGGAACATTACTTGGCTGAATCTAAACACACTGATTTCACTCTAGATATTCAAGTTACTTGTACTGTACTGCATTTGACTGAACATCTACCCACTACACATCACTACAACCAGTCATCAATGCATGTAGCCTGCATGTGTGGTTGTCAGTGACATAGAATTTTTATCCCTTTCTGACAAACAAAGCATTACAGTACAGTATTGGTAACTGCTTAAGTTAAATGGAATAACTTACATAATTTATAATTAAATCTGAAAATATTATAGATAAAAAGAAAACAAAATAACAAATTCTCAACACAAATCCAACCTTTGTCTAGTAAGCTTCTGAGTGAGTCAGTTCACATGTAGTGCCAGAACATGGTTTTAGGTAATCCCAAGTTGCCACGATCCTTGTTTCCAAATGAATGGAACTGTCTATCTTAATTTTATAGTCCAGTAACTACATGACCTTTACCTTCACTGATTCGATTGTACCTTGCTCCTCATCTCAGTCATATGGACTCTCCCTGTATATCAGAATGTGTGTGCTTTTTGGAGTGTCACTCATTTGTTCCATAGTTTTACAGTAGAGAGAATGTAGTTTATTCAGGCTTGGATTTACTCATAGCAATGTTCTTTTAATTGGAATTATATGGGGAAGAGAGCAGTTTAAAATATTATTGTTGTGACAGGTCGGGTGAGGCCAAATTCTGAGATATTTTCTTAACCTTGCCAATTGCTGCGTGGTTCATGTGTAACGGTCGGTTTCCTTGTATTCCTCCCTCATCCTGTTGTAATTGCCACTGTAATAATGAACCTTGGCCTACTCTCATCTTGTACCAAGCAACAATTAAATCTGAAGGACAATGTTAATTGATGGCTCATGCCGACAGGCTAAATGTTCCAACTTGGCCACCATACCTTCCTCATTAGTTATGACGAGGTCCAGAGGTTTGGGTGTTTGTTCCCCTATGTAGTGAGTCAGATCTTTTGCATGTTGAAATTTAAAATTGTATGTCAGAGTTTCTACAAAGAGAGTTTAAGGTCATTTGGTATAATTTTATTCCTCCAATTTAAGTCCCCCATGACAAAGAGGTGGCTAGGGTTGAGCAGTATTGTGTTGTCTTCCAAGGTTCACGAGTTCCTTGGTTTAATAAACTGCAATTTGGCGATCTATAGATGTAACCAACAATGAGTTAATCTTCCCCTTCAGTATAATTTTACACCAATTCAATTCTTCAAAAACATCCTCCCCCTGTACTCTCACCTGGCTGGCTCTAAGGTCTTGCCTAGCCCAAATAATCACAACCCTCTTGCAAGTTGCTTGAGAAAGGATCTTAAATGAGTCATGTCCATCTATATTAAACTCACAATCCTCTGGGTTGATCCTCCTGTTCTTACACAGCAGTTCAAAAACACCTACTACTGTATATCAGGTTGATGGGTCTTGAGTAAAGTTTCAAACACTACTTTCGTGATAGGAACCCAAGAGTAATCGTATCATCACATGTTTTTCACCATTTCAGTGTGATGGGGCTTATTAAATATGTGGACCAGTTTGCTTGTCACCCGCTGAATTAGTGATATATATATATATATATATATATATATATATATATATATATATATATATATATATATATATATATATATATATATATATAAACAAGAAAACACACAAAGTGTACACTAATCAGTGTTTACTGTAGATTTCAATATAAAATTTCATTTCCCAAGATATTAAGAGTTGTAATGTTCATGATTATTATTTTTTTTTTCAGTGCGGCGGACCCTGAAGAATGGGCTCACAGAGGAAGAAAAACGCCTGCTTGCCATGATTGCAGCCCAAACCCGCTGAGCTGCAACTAAGTATTTCTACACCTACCGTCACCCACTCCTGCTTCACCCAATTCTGGTCATCATCCATTATACCAAGACTCGTTCTAGAGTTTATCTGACCATTGTTAGAAACACTATGACTAAGGTTTCTAGTGTAGGGTGATATTACCAACAGTTATCCAGTGCATATGTGGGTGATATGATCTAGTCAGTCAGGAGTGGTAAAGAACCAACTAAAGACAGCTCTGATAGTGGTAGCCTCAGACACTTTGTATAAAACAGACAACAAAGCCTTCCTAATAGTTTGGAAAACTTTGAACACTTACAGATTATATGTGGGTTTTCAAGGTGCATGTCATGATTCAAATGATCACGTATACAGTATGGTAAATATAAAATGCACTGCTACTATCAACTGGCCCACTCCCAGTGATGAGCCTCATATCTGCTGCACTCATATCCCTTTTCTGTGCACCTCTTTTCTTTCATTACTTTTTAGAATATTCTTATTAACAGAGTCTCGTGAAGAAGACAATCTTGGATCCCTCCTGTCATTTATGTACGTGATATTTGTATCAGCTGCGAAGTGATATATTGCAGCAATATATATATATATATATATATATATATATATATATATATATATATATATATATATATATATATATATATATATATATATATATATATATATATATATACATACATATATGTACATATATGTATATATATGTATGCATGTATATATATATACTGTATATATATATAAATTATATATATGTATCATGTATATATATATGCATGTATATATATGTACTGTATATATATATATATATATATATATATATATATATATATATATATATATATATATATATATATATATATATATATACACACATATATATATATATAATACAGTGTCTCCTCGTTAATCTAACACAATTGCTCCACAGTCGCTCATAAATTTTGTTAACCGAATCCATTGTTTCAATGGGATATTGGGTAATTGGTTCCAACTCACAGAAAAGTACAAAGTAAAAAAAAATGCAGTAAAGTACACTTACTTTGAGGTGTGTATGTAGAAGGTTCCTGGTTGATGATGATGATGGGAATTAGAAGTGGGGATGGAGGAGAAGGGAGAAGAGAAGGAAGTGGGGATGGAGGAGAAATCATCTTTCTCAGCCATGCTTGATGCTGTCATTTCACCAATAAAATTTAAAGTTCACAAGGTGTAATTCAAGATTATTTTATTTAAATCACATCTGCACTGCACTATATATTATCAATATGTTAACTAAATTTCAGAATGACCAATAATTTCAATGTAAAAATGCAAAAATATTCAAGACACCAACAAAATAGATATTCACTCCACTGTCAACAGAGCCAAACTGACGTCTGGTGGCTGAGTCTAGCGGCTGATGGGCGCACAAAAAACTAGTTCCCTGTACTGCATATATTATCAATATGCTAACTAAATTTTAAAATGACTAATAATTTTAATATAAAAAATGCAAAAATATTAAAGAGCTCAACTTTCTTGATGTTTATTGCACTTTTAACGAATGTAAACATAGAACAAATAGCTGAATTGGCAGACTAGCCCATCAGCTGATGCTTACAACAAAACGTGTTGTTCGTAGGATTTCGTTAATCAAAGTTTTGTTCATTAACCGAATTGAAGATTCTTGTGGGAGGTAATTCAAATAACTGAAATTTTCGTTAATCGAACTGTCACAACGGGACATGTGTATATATATATATATATATATATATATATATATATATATATATATATATATACAACAAAAAAAAAAAAAAAAAAAAAAAAAAAAAAAAAAAAAAAAAACACACACATACACAACAACATAAATAATATAAAATATATGTATATATATATATATATATATATATATATATTATATATATATATGTATATATAATAATATATATATGTATAATAATGTATATATATATATATATATATATTATGTATATATATATATATATATATATGTATATATATATATATATATATATATATATATATATATATATATGTATATATATATATATATATATATATATATATATATATATATATATATATATATATATATATATATATATATATATATATATATATATATATATATATATATATATATATATATATATATAATTTATTTTCTGTAGGCTGCAAATCTTTTTTGTATCCTCACAAAACGAGAATCAGTAATCATTTAGATCAAAGTTAGCTGCTTGTTTAGACATTTTATTTTATCAGCTGTGATGTCATGTTGAGATGATGTAAGTTTAAGTTTCCTTTCATTGTAAATAGTTCTGCGTCACTTAAGTGTGCCGTAGCCCCGTGCTGGCTCGTGCCATGAAATGTATAAGATGTAGAAGCCTTTTCAGTTGTTAAATTTCCAGAATGGATCATTTTATGACTTTTAATGAAATACAGTACCTGTACTGTCAAACAGTTTTAAGAAACTGTTACTGGTAAAATTTATGTGCATTTTGTATTGCATCTGCTATCAAATTATGAAATAGGTTTTATTCATTAACTGTTATATTCTTGGTGATTTACCCTTGGTCACAAACACATCTAAAATGCTGGTCATAGATGAATTATAGATTAGAAGGGTATGGACTTAACAGAATATCTAGACAAGATTAAACTTTCAAGATGTACACTAATGAATAAATAAACAGCTTGAACTAACTATCTAGAGGGATAGTTATAACAAATCTGGTCCAACCCTTCATTTGCTCATTTTTGTGTGTCTTAAATGTAGCTCCCATACATATCCAATATGCAGGTCATTAGTACATGCTTATACAGTATTACAGGTAAATTACACACCTCAATTTTCACATACAAAGTCTTTGATAGTAAAAATTTGTGACCATAATGTGCTGTAGAACTGCAGTGTAATTAGTTTTAAAATTTCATATAAAATATAGTTAGTAAAACTACATAAAACTCCCGATTGTTGGTCACAGTAGTGCCGAGCTGAGGCATACATGGGTGGTTGCATGGGGATTCTTGTTTACTGGATGATAATTTTTATGTAAGATGCATTACTAAAAATGCATGTCAGGTTTAAATATATTGAAAATTTTCTCATCTTTGAGATTTTGATACTCAAAAATTGTGCTTTATGGACTTTCAATAAAAAAAGGCTGTGTATAGAAATTTTTTCATTATCTCTTCCTCCTGTAACTGTTGCCTACAATCAGCAGAATAAAGGGAAAACTAAATACCACAGGTGCATTGAACTGTGAATAATGCAAATGCACTAAAATGGCTCTTCACCCTAAGGATTCTTAGGTAGTTTCTACCCCATGATGTCCTGTGGGTTTGTAGTGGGTCAAAGAAACTCTTAGAAGTTCCCAAAGGGCTCAGTTAGGTCCTAGGGTTCCCAGAGGGGTACTATAGAGTCCCAGTGGTCACAGGGTAGTACTAGGGGTCCCAGGGGGCAGTGACTGGTGGTCCCAATTAATCCAAGGAAGTTATAAAAGTTCCTATGAGGTTCCAAGGGGGGCTGTGTATAGGACATTGCAGGGGGAACATAGGTGTTCCATGTGGTGCTAGGTTGGTCTTCCAGGGTCCTGAAGGACTCATAGTGGGTCCCAGGAATACACAAGGGGTTCCCGTGGGATCCTATTTGGTCCCAATGGTTCCAAATAAACATTTTCATGACAAAGTTTTTAAAAGATTTTCAAGAGCTACATTTTTTTTTAATAACTTGTCAAAGGAGCCTCGACTCTCGGTAGTCTACACAAACTTCTGTCCCTTCTTAGTTGGTGTGTGCAACAATGCTGCGACTGTGATGAAGTTCTTAATGAATCGACAGAAGTAGGTACAAAAGCTAAGGAAACTAAGTAGCTCCCTTATACAAGTTGGCACTGGCCAGTTTCTCACCACCACCACCTTCTCTGGGTCTGTGCATACTCCATCTTCCCAGATATTGAACTTCCTTCTGGAACAAGTAGCATTTCTTTGGGCTCAGTTTCAGGTGTGCAGTTTGGAACCAGTCAAAAACTTCCCAGTCTCCCCAGTTCCTACTCAAAAGTTCGGCCAAAGACAATCACATCATCCAGATTTATGAGGGCAGTCTTCCAGTGCAAGCCTTCCAGAACCCTCTCCATGAGACATTCGAAGATAGCTGGTATTGTGTATATTATTGAATGTTCCTTGAAGAAGGAGACCACTGTATCCTCAACATTACACAAGGCAAGTTCTGCTTTTCCCACATTAGGGTGCCTTGAAGCCAGTTTCCTGAACTTCTCCCAGTAATGAACAACATCTTTCAAATCTGAAGTTGACACATGGTCATCACTTTACCTCCTCACCACTGTCAGCCTCTAACATCTCATCCAGTTGCTGCAAGTCTTCAGGAGTAAGTTCCTGCTTATAAGACATCACAAGCTCTTCTACATCATCCTCCTCCACTTCAAGGCCCAATGACTGACCAAAGGACACAATCTCCTGGTCCAACTCTGTTTCTTCCTCAAATCCCTCAAAATCATGGACTACTGATGGCCACAGTGCTTTCCATGAAGAATTGAGGGATCTAGTGGAGACTTCTTGCCATGAGGACACAATCAATTTTACAGCCTCCAGGATGTTAAATTGTGTCTTCCAGAACTGTGCCAGTGTTAGTTCAGGATCAGTGGAAGCTGCCTGATGACACCTCCTGAACATTTTCTTCATGTACAGCTTCTTAAAGTTGCTGATCACATTCTGGTCCATTGGCTGTATGATTGATGTTGTGTTGGGAGGCAAAAACAACACTTTGACAAAGTCAAACTGAGACTCCAAAGTGCTGGCAAGTTGAGGGTCATGACCAGGGGCATTATCAATAAGGAGAAGAGCCTTTAAAGGAAGTTTATTGGTGGTTAGGTAGCTCTTCACAGAAGGGCAAAACACCTCAACAGCCCATTCATTAAAGAGCTGTCTTGTCACCCATGCCTTACGGTTGGACTTCCAATAAACTCCAAGCCGTACTCTTACCACTTTTTGCTGCTTGAACACCAAGCAATAGATTGAGACAGTCTTTCATGGGTTTATGCCCAGGTAAAGAGGCTTCATCTCTGGTGATGAATGTCCTTTTGGGTATCTTTTTCCAGAACAGCCCAGTTTCGTCCACATTGAACACTTGCTGTGGAAGATAATTTTCTGTATCCACCAGTTCTTTAAATTCCACTAAAAATATTGCTGCTCCTTCCTTATCAGCACTGGGAGCCACACCATGCCTAGCAACGCTAAAAATGTCACTTCTTTTCTTAAATTTTTCGAACCAGCCCTTGCTGGCCCTAAACTCTTCAAACTCTGTGCCTGAAGAACCAGGTTGATCTGCCTTTAAATGTTCGTAAATCTCCCTGGCTCTTTCACAAATAAATTCGGTCGAAACTAAATCACCTTTCATCTGTTTTTCCCTAATCCAAATGAGAAGTAACCTCTCTGTTTCTGCTATTAGGGATCTACCTTTAAA